TAATATGCTGCATTATTATTAACTGCTATCAAAAAAGCTCATAAATAACATTTTTCTTTCTTGTGTTCAGCTCATTTTTCAGCATTTTTTATTTTCATTCTTTTTAACTTTAAGATAAAAACTGATTTAACTCTCAATTTAAAAAAATGCCCCAGACTGGAGAGTTCTCTTTTGTTTTGTGCAGTTTAAGTCTTTTTCTTTTTCGCTGATCAGCATGAATTGAAGGTTACTCTGGAGCCTCTATTCTCACAATAATTGGCAAAACACCTGTAACATACATTTCCTGCCACAATAAATGACGCTCATGAATACATTCACCCTGAACACGCCTTTTCAATAAACTTTACTGGCAAAAAAAAACAACAGGGCCTTTTTCATGCTTTGGAACAACGTTTTAAGTCGGACAGATGTGAATTTATTGGGCCCCGTCGCTCACTGCCTTACTTGTCCATTAGTTAAGTGACAGGACAGGGCCCTTGGAAACCTGCAGCAATACGTGTGATTACGTTAAAAGATCGCACAATCTGTTCATATTTACGTAATGAGCACGACATTTTGCTGATTGATTAAACTACAGGGTGTAAATATTTTAAGGGGCCCCTGATTTATCATCCAACAAAGCAAAAAGAGGCCGATTTATTTGTCTAACTATGAAAATGGGGGTTTCTGGTAACCGCTCTGTGTTTGAGGGGCCGGTCTGACATCTCAGGGGTGACTTGAGTGATTCAATAGACAGTGAAACATTTTTATAGAAAGACACAGGCTCACTATGCGTTATTGGTTCAAAAAAGAAAGATGCAGAAGGGCCGTCAGCACTTTTGTCAGAGCGGCTGTTGAGACAACTGACAGCATTATCAGCAATAATTTACGCAGGGATTTTTTAATCAACATGACTGGTGTATTCAGATTAAATTAGAAGAGAAACGGAATCAATGACCTCCATATATTGCTCCACTGCCTTATCAATTAGCTGTGATTTTTGTACTGTGTCAGAGGGGCCTTTGTCATAAAACGGGCCAAATGGCATTCGTCATGCAGCTGACAAGTCACACAACTTAAATGAGCTCCTATTGATTCGCATGATTTTTCATCAGCCAAATTAAAAGCTGCAGTTTGATAGAGGTTCACTCTGCAAGCTCGTTATGTATTCTATTCGCTCCTATTAAATCAAGTCTAAAAAGTTCTCCCTCTTGGAGTTATTTAAGTGAACCGGTGGGGTTCATCTGGTGCACTCAGCAGGTTCATTAATGCTGCTTCAGATTAATTAGCCTGCCAATTAGTGACAGGGTTGGTTAAAGCTGCAGCTGTCACACTCGTAAAAACTGCAAAGTTGCTTCAGAGCGTTCGTCATCATGTGGATCTTTGTTTCATCATCGCTTTGTTGCTCTGCCACAGATTGCTTCCGTTTCTTTTTTCTTTTAAGCACAGATTTAAAGCCATTTTAAGTGTTGCAGCACATTCTGCAACCTTTTTTGCTGCTGAAAGGTTGTTACGCTTTATAGCTGTACCCAACATGGTGCCATAACATGGGTCAAACATTTTAATCAAAAACTGTGACCCAACATTGGGCTAATAGAGATGAAAATGTATTATTATGCTCCACATTTATGTAGAAGTGTGTCTGCAGGTCACTCACTCGTCGTCTGAGAATATGTCAACGACAGTTTTCATATAGTTCATCATCTAGTGTCACAAATTCCTGTCATGGCTATACAGCGCCATTATGACCTTCTTAGATAAATGCACCATGTTTGGGAACAGCAAAACAAAGCACACATGAGATATATATATATACAGGCAATATCTTTGTTGTTGTGTACAAATTAATTTGACCTGACTTCAGCAAGATGGAATATATTTATTTTTGGTGCTTTAGACTGCTCATGTGCTGTATTATAATGGTTATACAGGAAAAATTGGGACACAAAAGAAGATGAAATGTAAGTAATCCACAAAGCAATACAGCAACAACAACCCTTTCTTTTTTTTTTTACAATCATACAGACACAAATGTATGGTGACAACTTTGCAAAATATGACACTAATTATTACATTTAAATAATAGAAAATCATTCTATTTGCCCAAACCTAGAGCTAACAGACCAATCAATTACTAAATGTGGTTTAGTTCAGTACAAGTGGCTCATAAAATGCTTTTATAACTAGATAAAAATGTGCATTGGTAAAGGTATTATGGTCACATTATTCTTGTTTTGTAGTTTGTTTTGTAAAATGTTAGAAAGTCAAGTACATTTTAGCAATATCTAAATCTGTAAATCTGATTATCTGTTGTCTCACTAAATTGATTGTTGTTTAACATCTCTAATAAGATTTAGACATGAACTGTTATGCAAGAATTCATTCCTCCTTTTTTTGCAAAAAGAAAACAATTTTTGAACAAAATAATATGTTCTCATATGACAACCTTGAGGTTCTCCTTAGTTTCATACATACAAGATGCAGCTTTTGACTATAGCCTCAACAAAGCGTCCGCTAAAAGTCCCATCAGCGTTTAAAGGCACTTCAGATCACTTGAACAGCTCTGCTTTTTTTTCTTTTCACAAGAGGAACCAGAGTCTGTCCAGCCAGTTAAGAATGCATTTAATCACTATATAAATATGTGACTGTGGTCTGAGAAGGGGCTAAATGACACCACACTGCATGTCCTCCAATATGCTCCTTAATCACAGCCCTTACATGGGGGCCCAATAAAACGCCCCGCCGCAGCTGCACACACTCATCATCATCGTTGCTCTTGGAAATTAAAATGGGCCTGTGTGACCACTCACCATCAGGCTTTTGATTGCTTTACTTCCTATTCATTAACTTAATTATTTGGCTATCAGTAAACCCTGCCGAGTAATTAATATCTGAGAGCTTCTGTAATAAATTAAAACAGTGAACTGAGAATTACTTGTGCTTTGCGTCACTTCCAGAGACTCCTTACAGCTCCTTAGGGTGGAGTCGAAGGAGACGTAAACACACACACTAACAATTTTGAGTCTATTAATCGGGCTTGTTAATAAAACCGTGAACCATTTTCCCATAAGTGACTTTTATAAATACGTTTTTGGTATTTTTCTTTCTTATGATCACAACTCACATGGCTCGGTAGTGATGGTCACAACTTTGGTCCGCATTGAAATATCTCATCAGCGATTGTCATAAGCTTCACACATTCATGCTCCCTTCAGGATTAATTGTAATCTTGTTAGTGATTTCTTGACTATTAATTTAGCTCAATCTGGCAGTTTCTTATTTATGACCTTATTACAACAAAACAAATTACATCCCGTTCAGCCTCAGCTGTACTTTGTGTTCAGAGCTCATTAGTACATGCTAACATACTAAACTACCACAGTGAATATGATCAGTTTTACACCTGCTAAATGTCAACATGTTAGCTTTTAGCTCAAATCACTTCTGTTTATTAGTACAACCTCAGAGAGCCATGCACTGCTGTGGATTGTTAGTTTTTGTATACACTTTTTATTTCATGAACCTAAAACCCTGCTGTCCCTGCAGATATTTATTTTGGCCAACAGTTAAATTTGTACTTCATTGGTCCACAGCACTTATTTGTAGAACGACTCTGGTTCATCCAGATGTTACTTTGCATACTTCGCACTTTACCTTCTATGATGATGTTAACATATTATTACATTACATACATTAGCTCGCTCATGTAGACCCTGTTTGTGCATCAAGGCTGCACAGTGGAACAGCTCAACCTTTCTGCAGCATCTTTCACAGTCATATTTGCTTTGCAGATGTGCAGCTTCTTCTGAAAGTTTCCAAGGTCTTCCAGATTTCTTGTTGACGTTCAGTTTCCTGTTCTACTGTAAGCTAGAAGGGCTAAATATCTTTTTATTGGCTCCCCCTGCTTTGTTGGAATCAACTTTATTTTAAAATCCGTAGTCAGCTGCCTAAAGGAGCCAGTAGTTGTTTAGTATTACCACAAGCTGATCTGACCTTTTGACCTTTGATTCTGCTGAGGCCTAATAAGGTAACAAATTAAAGTGTGCACATGTCACAACTGATGATTTATTTTAAAATTTGTGAATTAATTTTTTTTAAAGATAATGAAACAAAGAGTAACATAAAATACTATTTTTTTAAGCTATTTTTTTCTTGCAGTCAATCATCATGATTTTTTCTTATAAACGGGCATTTAATGTGACATACTAAATAGAAATGCTGATCAAAAAGTGTAGTTTCCACTACATTTTTGCTGTCATTTTTTTTTATTTCACAATTACACCACAAACAAGTTTGAGATAAATACATGTGTGATTCATCTTTGCAATCATTCAAATAAATTAATTCATTTACATGTAAGTGACGAGAACAAATTCATAAACATTGTAGAGAACATCAAAAAAAACATCAATATTCACATAAAATGCAAAGAATAAAAACAAATGCAATACATGAGATGTTCTGCAAAGTAGTGAATCAAAAACATCCAGAAGGGCCGATGTTTCTACGCCTTTATTCAGCCACAATGCCGCACAGCTCGGCTAACTTTGTGAGGCAGCGTTCATCCTCCAGCAACGTGACAGTTCACTCGTCTTACTTCACATCCTTCATTTGTGGAAACGTGTGTGTTTGCTGGGTGGAGCTCGAGCTGTCAGCGGATGGCGCAAACACAAGGTTACCAGAAGGTGAACAGAAGATTCTCATGAAAACAGCTAAATTTAGGGAGGAAATGAACACCTTTTTTTTTCTTTTTCTTTTCAGCATGCTACAAAATGTACAGTACTTAGAGATGATTTTATTCACAGATATTTTAAACAGCGTAAATGTGTCATAATCCTGTAAGTGTTTGTGTCTGGTTATTAGTGATCCCAACAAATGTCCAAATGGGAAAAACATTCACAGAGCAAACCAGACAAAGAGCTTTAGGTTTGGAAATTGTCTTCTCGAGTGACCACAAATATTTTCCAGGTGTCACGTCTCTGGAACACTCAGGAAATCAGTGTTTTCTGGGTGTTTTTGTTTCACAGTCCTGCTCCAATCTTCCTGTCACCTCCGCCGACTTGCACGCCCTCCAGCTCATCATCAGAGAAAGGGCTGTGGGGATTGTAGCCAACATCGTTGCTGCGCTTCAAGAAGTCCGTGGATCGTGGCATCCCAACTCTGTTACCCATAGCAACAGGAAAACCATGCTGGGCTTCTTCCTCTTCTTCTTCCTCCTCGTCCTCCTCTTCTTCTTCCTCCTCCTCTCCATCCTCCAGGCCGAGATCTATCCCCCTGTCGTCCGGAGTCACAGCTCGTCTGCTCTCGTCAGATTTGTCAGTGGCTGTTTTTCCTCCGCTGCGTAGTCGCTCCGTGTCAGACTGGTTGGAGGCTGTCGCCTGCTCCTTCGCCTTCCGGCTGCGCTTCCACTTCATCCTCCGATTTTGGAACCAGATCTTGACCTGCCAAGAGCAAGAAAATACATTTGAAACACAGTCACACATATAAAGTATTGTCCAGAGTTTGTCTAAGTACATATTTGTACTATTATATCTATCATTTGTAGCTGTACAACACAATTTAGTTCTAAAAACTGACAGTAAATTTTAAACATTTTCTTTGTATCTGCCTCAAATGACAGTGCAGAACTTCTAACACAACTCAAAAAAACTATAATGTATAAAATAAGATATTTTAGGATGACTGCTCATACACTGTGTCTCCTTTAGGTATCAACAAAAACAATGCAATATAAGAATTCTTTGGTTTGTGCTGTGGCCTTCGGGGATGTATCTCTATTTATAACAAATATAATTCCATTCTAATTAATTACCACAACCAGTGTCATAAAGGAAAATGACATGAAAGCACAAACCATTTGCCTCTTACACATATAAATATATGACGGATTAACAACACACATGTGAGACAGTCGCAGATGGTCACAATAATAAAAAAACATACTTGGATGTATTCTGATTCCTCTTTTCTAAAATTATATGCAAAACATTTTTAAATGTCGGTCAAAATCTGTTGAACAAATATTTGTGGTATTAAGCCCATGCAAAGCATTCCCCCAGAAAAAATGCACTTTGTTGTAAATGAATGCTTGTTTGATGGACTGATTGTAGTTACTTTCAAGGCTTTATACTCGTATTTGTTTGTTTTATTCAACGTATTTACAAAACTGTATTCGAAATGTTAGCAATTTCATAATTTCATCCTTTTTCTTGCTTATTCTGGGGGATATTTTCTGTTATTTTCTGTTGCTGTCTGTCTGTAAACTACTGTTATTGCTGCCTGTTGGCCAGAACACTTATTTAAAATGAGATTTTTAATCACAGAGAGGCTTTTTCTGGTTGAATAAAAGGTATAAACATGGCTATAATTTCTGGGAGGTCTGGAAGTTGCTTACTGAACTCTGTTAAAGTGCATTTATGCCATACAAACACACTGAATGAGAAATGTTTCTGGCCTGCAGATGCAGCCAGTTTGAGAAATGAAACTAACTGTCAGGTCACTTCAGCCTGGAGAATGCAGCATATTAAGAGGAGCTGTGCTGTATAGGGACCGGTCTGTCTTACCTGTGTCTCAGTCAGCATGAGCGAGGTGGCCACTTCAAATCGTTTGGGTCTGGACAGGTATTTGTTAAGTTTGAACTGGTTCTCCAGCTCCAGGAGCTGCTGACTGGTGAAGGCGGTGCGGGGCCTCCGACATTTCCCCAATAGGCCGGACTGAGGGCCCGCTGGAGGGGGAAAAGCAGAGTTATCAGTCTGTTTGGGGCTCCATCCAATACAGATTTACAGTTATTTCAAGACAACTTATTTCTTATTTGATATCAGCCTTCAGAGCTTCATGGATCTACTCAGCTCATGGAGGAGCTCTGGGTTTATCACACAATGACTGCACATTTTCTGTAATATTCATTTCAACTCCAAGTCTTAAATAAGCCTCCACTGCCACAAGTCTTATTTATATAAATCCAAGGACATGAGAAGTTCAATGTAATGCTGTGGGAGGGAACAGGCGCACATATGCCGGCACTCTGTGGCCATCATTAACTATAATAGCTTTACTCCAGTTTATTGTTGACTGGTGGGGGGGGACACGGTAGAAGCGGGCGCAGAGGCCATAAAAACACAGGCATGCCATTAACTTAATGAAAATTCAATGAAGGCTTTTGGGATTTTATTGATGAACTACAGAACGTTTTAGGTGTTTGTTTATAGTTTCTTCGTCACACAAAGACAATTTTCATCGGGTTGGCGTTTATAGAGAAATAAATGGGCCAAAATTAAAATATGACACACAGATAAGCAGTAAATCCGAGGCTGGTGCACTGTAAGGGACGATGCATGGCTGTTATTGAGGAGACACACTGTAGCCAACATGTAGATCTCAGACTTCACCTTGATTAAAATATTGCACAACGCCTGGCTTGAGAGGAAAAAAAAAAAAAAAAGGTTGTAAATTATACTGGCCTGATTTAGGAGAGACATAAAAGAATCAAGAAAACACAAACAGTGGCCGCTTGTGTCTGCTTTTTAGAATTA